GAGCTGAAATCTAGCCACATCCCTCTTGAGGCTGAGTTTAATTACATGAGAGATGTCCTAGATAAATCTGGATTTTGTGGAGGAGCAGAAGAATTCCTTGAAGCATGGTCCTCATCCTATGAGCCAATCGACCAATTATTGTTCGTTGAAGAACTTCAGACTATGAAAGCTGACTGTTATGAGATACCATGGGATCGCCAACTTTTTCTTGATCTAATAAATGAAGCCCTGCTGGAAATTTACGAGAGCAATATAGCCTATACCTTAGGGCTCTCACGGTTTTCTTCTCATGTTATGCCGGTGAATATGGGAGATCATCTACTTGAGCAGGTATGGGCAAAAGTTAGCAGGCTCCTCAGTTCACAACAAGATCTGAATCACGCACTAGAGGATGCTTTGGCTCGAGCTTATGCAAAGGATGATGGATGGATGAAACTACATTTGGATGTTGAGAGAGTGGGGATGGACTTAGAGGGCTTGATATTGGATGATTTAGTTGAGGAAGTTATTCTAGATTTTGGATATGTGTGAAGTTTGTTGTTTGTGTATGTTTTTTATTGGGGTATTAGTACATAGTATTTCCCCCTTTTTCTGTAAATATGTATGGATTTGTTTTATGACCTTATTCATCTACCTGTAATTATCAATATTTTTTTGACTTATATGATGGTTATTGCACATCTGGTAGTGAGAGGTGTTTAAATGTCTATGGTAATCTCTTTCATACTGCAACAATTCCAAACATCACTTAGACAAGAGTATAAGATTAGAATTTACCAATAATCACCACAGGAACAAGAACCGTCTCTGAAATGGTGAAACCTTTTGTTGTCTCTCACCACAATCTCCCTCTTCACAACCTTAGACACAAGCTTGATAGCATTGTGACAATCCCTGCATATTCTAACGTTCTTGCATATTCTCAGCTTCGTGCCTTCTGTCGTCTTCATCAATCCAAATGCCACAGCTTGCTTCTCACTATGGCACCTAAGTAATTCCACCTTCTCTTCATCCTCTACTTCATGAAGCACTGACCCCATATCAGGAATATATCCAATTCCCTGAATTTTCTCTTCCAAAATACACCACATTTTGTGAATTTCATCTAATTCAGGTAGATAATTATCGGCTACCATAAAGTTATAAACTTTGCCTCTTAATTCTATCCAACTACATCCCGGGTCCTTCTGAAGACCAATCTCCTTCAAAATTTTCCTTACTCTTCTAACATCATCCCATCTTTCTGATCCTGCGAACAAATTTGAAGCCATTACATAATGCTCGACCTTGTCAGGTTCTAATTCTAACAGCTTCTCAGCAATTTTCTCCCCAAGATCTACATTTCGATGAATTCTACACGCACTGAGTAAAGTACTCCATATTTTGCTGTCCGGCTCTGCAGGCATCTCTTCGACAAGTCTCATTGCATCTGCTAATTTCCCAGCTCTCCCTAGCATGTCGACAATAGAAGAATAATGCTCTAGCTTTGGCTCAATCTTTTGCTCATTCTTCATCTCCTCAAAGTAATTTAGACCTTCTTCAACTAATCCAGCATGGCTACATGCCATTAGAATACCGAGATAGGTGAAGGTGTCCGGCTTTATCTCTTGTTTCTGCATCCTATAAAGCAGTTCTATAGCCTTAGAGGCATTTCCATGGACAGCATACCCTGTGACCATAACATTGTAAGATACTACATCTTTGTTCTCCATTTTCTCAAAGAAATACAAGGAATGATCTATGGAGCCACATTTTGCATACATAGCTATGATTGAGCTTGCAACATGTCGATCTTCAGTGTAGTTCGCTTTCAATGCAAAGCCATGCATCTCTTTGCCGAGGCAAAGAGACGATAACTGAGCACAAGCCATGAAGGCACTTGTTGTTGCAATCATAGTAGGCTTTTGTCCATCAAACTGCATTTCACGAAAAAGTTGGAGGGTTTCATTCGGAAGCTCATTTTGGGAATATCCAGCAATCATAGCATTCCAAGATACCACTTCTTTTTCCTCCATCTCATCGAACAATACTCTAGCTTTTGAGGGTTCTCCACATTGGATATAAAGAGAAATCAGTGAAATTCTAATGAATGAATCCATCTCTAAGCCATTCCTCTGGACAAAGCCATGTATTGACTTGCCAATTTGAAGGAATTTGAGATTGGCACAAGCCAAAAGCAAGCTTCCAATACTGAACCAATCAGGCTTCAAGCCTGAAGATATCATATCCAAGAACAAATCCAAAGCTTTTAAAGGATCTACATTCTGTGCGTAGCCTCCAATTAGTGCATTCCATGAGCTCACTGTCTTTACCTCTATGCCCTCAAAAACATTTGTTGCCAATTCCAGTAATCCAACCTTTGCGTAGGCCGCAATGAGAGCATTCAACACTAACTCATTGCATTCAAGTCCGTTTCTGATCACATAACAATGAATTTCTTTCACTTTATAAAGCTCCGACGGATCCAAACAAGCTGGCAGTGCATTTAGGATTGTGATTTCATTTGCCTTTAATCCTTCTACCATTGACATCTCTCTCAATAGATCGAAGGTTCCATCAACATCTCCATTTCTTGCACAACCCCCAATCATAGAATTCCAAGAAACCACGTTTTTTCCACTCGTAGTCTCAAAACCCCTGCGGGCCTCAGCCAACCACCCACATTTTGCGTACATATCAGTTAATGTGTTATTCACCCTCAACTCGCCCGCCAAACCCAATTTCACCGATAACCCATGAACCGATCTCCCCATCTCCACCCACCCGCGCGACGCACACACAGGCAGCACAGTCACCACCGTCGCATCATCAAATCCCAACCCATCAACCCCCATCATCTCCCTCAATAGACCAAACCCTTCATCAACGAACCCACATTCAAAATACCCAGACATCATCGTGTTCCAAGAAACCAGGTTTCTCCCCGGCATTTTCTCAAACACCTTCCCCGCGTCTTCAACGCGCCCGCACTTCGCGTACATCGAAATCAAAGAGTTGCCCACGAAAGGGTCATCGCCGAGTCGCAATTTAACACCCAACCCGTGAACGCATTCTCCCAATCCAGCAGCTGAGAGGCCGGCACAGGATTTGAGGACACAGGGGAGGGTGAAGTTGTCGGGGTCGAGATCGGTGGAGGATAGCAGCGAGGAGAAGGCGCGAATGGCTTCCAGGAATCGGTGGCTTCGAGAGTAGGAGGCGATTAGGGCGTTCCACTGGCGGATGTTGTCAGGGGGCGAGGAGGCGAGGAGGGGTTTTGGGGAGGTTTTGGGTTTGTGGGTCTGAGGGGGAGAGGGGGGTAGAGTGATGGGGTTCGGGTGGAGGATAGACATTGTTCGAGGTTGGAGGAGAGATTTGGGAGAGGACAAGTGAGCGAAGCTAGTGTTCTTGGGTGATCAACGGTTGGTTGAAGAAGAGCGAAGCAGAGTTGAGGATGAGATGAAGACACGGTTCTTGGTTTTTTTTTTTCAAATCATCCGTGCAGCTGGGACTTCAGTTTTAGTCCCACATCGGTTGCGTTCAAACCCGAAGGGCTAGCAGCTGGGATAAAAGGGGTCGCAGGGCGGGGTGCTTAAGCATACCTTTCTCGGCCTTTTGGCTAAGATCAAGTGTAGTATCTGTTCTTATCAGTTTAATATCTGA